TATCGATGTTTACACTGATGGCTCCAAATACTCCTCCGGTGCTGGTTTCGCTGTACTTTCTCGCACTTTCAAATACCCCCTCCCTCCTGAATCAAGTGTCGTTACAACAGAACTGCACACACTCCTTTTTGCCTTAAAACACATATACTTTTTCCTCTTTTACAAATTTTACTGACTCCCATAACTCATTAACTCTCATATAGTTAATACACTCGGTCAACCCTCTTGCTTGTAAGATCCAGAACTGGTTGTTCTACCTGTCCACACGCCATAAAACTATCAGATTTTGCTGGGTGTCCAGCCATGTTGGAATCCCCAGCTATCGGCAATGAACAGGCAGATACTCTAGCACACTACGCCGCTATGTCCATATCACACCAACCACTTTTCTCACGTATACCAGTCACGGATTATTACCCCCATTTTAAGATCTTCATTACATACTGTAAACTATCAGTCTCCGTCTGGTCAGCTCCATTTCATCGGAACAGACGTTGGGAGACCGCTCTCGCCCGCTTACGCATTGGCCACACCCGTCTAACACACTCCTATCTGATGTCACACTGTGATCCACCTCTATCTTCCCTATTTAATGTCCCTCTTTCAGTTCCGCATTCAATTGTCCTGCCCATGCTTTGATGCAGCCCGTACCTCTGCTTTCCCCCACCTATCCTCCTTCCACCGACCTCCCAACCTATTAGACATCCTTACAGAATCTCACACTTTCTGTTTTGACAACCTGATTTCTTTCCTCAGACGCATACATATCCTTCACTTGATCTAACCCCTTTACCTTACCCGACCTTAACCCATTCACTCGTCAACTCCTTTGCCCAGCTTAGACAACTAATCACTAACTCAACCACCCTTCACTACCATTTACCATAGTGCTACATGACCGTTGATGTCTAGCACATTTATTTTGCTTTTAACCATTAACCAATTCCGTCCGTTCCCCGACCCCTTCTACTACCCACTTCCCAAAGTGTGAGAGCCGTGCTGAAAGGGTGAAAGGCTGACTTTGTGCCAGTCATGAACAGCCTGAGGGAGCCCTCTCCCTCTCTCTCCCTCCATCTCCCTCCCTCTCCCTCTCCCTCTCTCTCTCTCTCTCTCTCTCTCTCTCTCTCTCTCTCTCTCTCTCTCTCTCTCTCTCTCTCTCTCTCTCTCTCTCTCTCTCTCTCTCTCTCTTCTCTCTCTCTCTTCTCTCTCTCTCTTTCTCTCTCTCCCTTTCTCTCTCTCTCTCTCTCTCTTTCTTTCTCTCTCTCTCTCTCTCTCTCTCTCTCTCTCTCTCTCTCTCTCTCTCTCTCTCTCTCTCTCTCTCTCTCTCTCTTCTCTCTCTCTCTCTCTCTCTCTCTCTCTCTCTCTCTCTCTCCCTCTCCCTCTCCCTCTAAATCTTCTCTCTCTCTCTCTCTCTCTCTCTCTCTCTCTCTCTCTCTCTCTCTCTCTCTCTCTCTCTCTCTCTCTCTCTCTCCCTCTCCACCTCTCTCTTTCCCTCTCCCTCTCCATCACTCTATCTCACTCTCCATCTTTCTCACTCCCTCCCCATCTGTCTCTTTCTCTCTCTCTATCTATCTATCTATCTCCCTCTCTCTCCCTCCCCCTCTCTCCTTCTCTCCATCCCTCCGTCTCTCCCCCCTTCCCTCTTTCTTTCTTTTTTTCTATCTTCCTTTCTTTCTCTCTCTCTGACTCTCTCTCCCTCTCCCTCCCTCCCTCTCTCCCTCCTTCCCTCCCTCTCTCCCTATCTCTCTTTCTCCCTCTGTCTCTCCTTCCCCATCCTCATCTCTCCCTCCCTCTCTCCTTCCCCCTCCCCCTCCCTTCCTTCCTCCCTCCCTATCCCTATCCTTCTCCCTCTCCCTCTTCTTCCTCTCCCTCACCCCCCCCCTCTAACTGAACTCTCAAGCCTGTACCAATCTCTGTAGGGAATTTATTCCAAGGCCTACAAACAGCACTAAAAACTAGAAAACTGAGACGTAGACTCACATTAAATGCTATAGAATTAAATACTACAGAACATTCAGCAACTCTTGCAGGTTGATAAAATCAAGTAAAAATTTAAAGATGGATGGGCATCATCGATTAAAATTTTGTGTACGACCGAAAGAGCCCCAATATACCTACGATGCCCAGTGTCCAAATCTAAGTCTGACGGAAAATTTAAAAGAGCGATCAGGCAATCTTAAGTGTGACTCCGTAGCAGATAAACGCACATAAGAACAATATTCAGAATGAGGCAAAAAGAAAGAAAAGAG